TAAACGTAGTGACATGTAAAGGAATATGAAAAAGCTAAAACGTTGAATTTAAATTGTAATGTCATCGCAGTACTGTCTAATTTTGCTTGCTTCGCTGTTAGTCGAACAAACGAAGACTAAAGCGTGAATGACGCTCTGTATACGATTTTAACGCCCTATAAGTTCGGACACTTTTTAGCGCGGACTCGACGTCCATATAATTGTAAGTCAATGCATACAATCCATTTTTTGCATTTCAGTTACTTTGTGCTTTAAGATACGAATTTGAGAAAGTAAGGCGACGACTTTAGACGCACCGACGATGCTCGTTTCACAAACGCGCGTTTACGGTGTCGAAGAGCCATAAAAAGACAGACTATGAATTATACTTTTTGGAAAACTTATCGCCCTCCTAACTGCCGTAACAAGCCTTAGACGAATTTTTAAGGAAAATTTGTTTTCAGTTTAGTTTTTGAGACCTCTACCTAGCTCATTCACTTTGGGTACCAATTCACGTCGAGTGCAACCTATTCGCGTCAAGTGCAACCTATTCGCGTCGAATGCAACCTATTCACGTTAAGTGCAACGTATTGACGTTGCGTGCATTTTTAGTGTTTGGATCAAATCTTGTTGAAAGAAAAATTGTTTCTTACCCTTTGTCTTTAGCATGGACATCAGCACCCCTCTGTAGCAACAACCTCACCGCTCTAGCCCTATTGTACCCTGCGGCCAAATGCAGTGGCGTAGAACGGCGGCCGTCGTGCGCATGCACGTTCACGTTAAGCGGAGTAAGGAGAGATGCTAAGCGGTCATCGGCACCAGAACGGGCTGCTTCTAGGACGTCAGCTGCGCAGTACTCGCCTGCGTAGGAAAAATGCGGGGAGTGGATTTCATCATATATAAAACAGGGTTTTCGTTTAAATGTCACCATTATAGAACACTGTTTTAATATTTTTTTTATAATACCAAGTAACGGGACGATTAAGTCGTGCGCCTGGTGGTAAGCGACACGCCTGTCCATAACAGTTGCAGTGCCACTCAGAGTTTTAAAACACAAAGATCTCAGTGGCACTGCCACTGCCCACGTCATTCCGACACGTAATATAACTGCCTCCCTGGCCGAACGGTTACCTTCCCGGACTGCCACGCAGAGGTCCCAGGTTCGATTCCCGGGCCGGGAGAAATATTTGTATGGCCTAAATTTATTTCTGTCGTGAGTTTGGGTGTAATTTGTGGTTGTTTATGTGTATGTCCATGGCACCCGCGACACAAGGTTTTCCTAGTCCCACATGTCCTTCCTTCTTACCGTTTAAAACCGAAACGCAGTAATGTTCAAAATCACATTACTGCTTTACGGCGGAAATAAGTAAAATGACGACTGACTGTTTTAAAATAGTAGAGCTCCTTGTGAAAGAATTCGTCTAAGAAACTACAGTGAATGTTCTTTTCTAATTTTGAAGGGCAAAGATGCTTGTGAAGCTGTAGGTGTATTGTCTGTACAATATAAAATACAGGACGACAAGGGGTCGTATTTATTCATCGTCGTTAGTCCAAAATAACGGTCTAATTTTACTTCTCCGTCTGTTCAGTTAGCATGTCTTTATGACCAGCCATTCCGCTGGTCACCACGTATTACAGTCTATAAGTAGAAGTTTTAAAACCGTGTTTTGCGGGTGTACCTGTGAGAACGGGACGCGTGGCGGTGTCTGCGAGGTCGAGGGGTGTCTTGCTTTCTGTGTTGCGTATATTTGGATCAGCGCCATGCTGCAGCAGAGCTACGACAAAAAAAACTATTAATTAAAAAGATAATTGATCTACTTACAAAATTATAATATGATTAAATTATTATTGAATTGATATTCAGTTATGTTTTGTGAAAATACTCCATTAGTCTATTATAATTATTAATACAAAGATCGAACACTTAGAAAAAATCCTTCGAACCGGCCGGATTCAAACCGACGTGAAAGGGTTGTAACCCTAACTAGCCGTGAACAGGTTCTCAGCAATGAAACGGGAAACTTCCGGTCCACAAAATTTATTAAAAGAAGTAAAGTTAAAAGAAAGGGCTGTAACAATAAAAAGGTAAATGTAAAAAAAAACCAGATACAACAGTATAAAACTCTCCCTACACTTTATGATTAAGGCACTTACCCCTAAATGGGCCGAGTAACTGAATTACAGATATATGTACATAAAGGCTGTTATAAATTATTACACATGATTTAGCTTATTTAATGATTATAAACGTAGTAAAGAAACAAAATTAGCGATTATACGCGATGGAATTTGAAACAGCTCCGACTGTTGTGGCGGTCGAGCAGGGAGTGACCGTGGTACGAAAACAAAATGAGAAAGTGAAGGAAGATGGAACAATTCAAATTTAAAATTTAAATACAAGTTAAATAAAAAATTATAGGATACAAGCGGAGAGAGGTGATACAAAAAGGTGAGATGACGGTGTAAGGAGGATAAAACCGTCACAGACGTTTTCTAGCAAGCCGTGCTTGATGCTATTCCAACTAAGCCACGGAACGAACCAGCGGACCTCACGAATTTTTCTACGTGATTGTTGTCGGATCTTGAATTTGGTTTTTAAACGACTTTTTGCCCTAGCGCCATCTATGAGAAATCTATGGAAGTATTTCGTCACCCAGTTAGATTCCTTTACAGCTACCAACCCTGGCTAGAGATGTCGCTATTAGATATGAACACCGTGCCGGCGCGCCGTTCAGTTCGATCAGGCGCTCCGATCATGATCACGCGCACGCTTCCGAATTGTGTATGTGAAAATGGCGACGCCAGAAAATGACTTTTCTATGATAAAACTTTTTTTTTTATACAAAATTCGCATTTGACCTCCATTTCACCTGATGGAAAGTGACGATGAGGTCGACGATGGAGCGTGCACACCTAAATAATACCTATTCACTTTCGCCTTGAAAAGGTCCAAGCTTTAACGTTCAGGGAACAAGTTTGCTGGCAGGAAATTCCACTCCATAGCCGTTCGCCATACAATTGTGGAAGCGTAACGCTTCGTGCGAATCTTTGGAATATCCACAGCATAGGGGTGGAACTCAAGCCTACTCCTAGTCCCCCGGTGATGGAAAGGGGAATTAAATCATGTAATTCCAAAGCACACTCTCCCTGACATATCGTGTAAAATACCGATAAGCTGGCAACTTTACGGAGGTGTTCAAGGCTCTGCAGCTTTGCCTCCACTAATTCCGAGTCACCTATAAGCTTCTTGGCACGGTTGTCAATTAAATCCAAGGTGGTCAGTTGGTATGTAGCAGAGCCATCCTAAAGGTGGCAGCAGTACTCCATGCACGACCGAACTTGTTCTTGGTACAGCTGAAGCAACTGTCCCGGCGTGAAGTAACGCTTCACCCTGGAAAGGATCCCAAGCTTCCTTGCTGCATATTTGGCCATTGATTCAATGTATCTACCGAAGTTCAAATTGGACGACAGGTCCATTCCAAGTAGCTGAAAAAGAGTCGGCTATCGGTATGGATATATCACGAAAAGTCAGAGTCAGCTCAAAGGGACTCCGTTTTGTGGAGGATGGACACGCCTGCCTTTTGGTAGCGTTAAATTTGACAAGATTGACATCGCCCCAATCGGAGAATGCCTTGAGTGTCAAATCCAAACGGCTAACTATGGACTCTCGACAAGACTGGATTTCTTTTCCACTTTATATATATAAAGTCCATTTTTGCGAGTGGGTCATTAAAAAATTATAGAAACTCTGAAAGATTTTATTCAATTGAACACGATAGACACACCTCTACCTCGTATCATTTTTGCGAGAAGAATAAGTGCGAGTCCACCTGTTCATAAATGTTGCCTTTCATGCCATTTTGTTTTATTATTATTATTATTTCGATTCTTTTTTATTATTATTATCTATTTTAGACCATGGCGGAAAAGATTTTTAATTATTAATATTGTTCTTGTCAATTACTGTAATTGGATATTTACTGTAGTCGGATATGTCTGTCGTAATTAGAATTCATAAAAAAATTTTACATACATTTCCCGCTCTTTTCCTATCGGGTTAGACGGAGATCACGTCCATCCATCCATCCAATCCTGTCCATCTTTTATTCATAAGGAGGAATATGATATGACTAATACTGCCCACATGTACAGGGAAAGAGTAGAAAAGGGGACCAGAAAGGGAACAGAATGGTTACCGAGAGACAAGGCTGACAAGGGACAGAGCCAGATGGGTAGAGCTGGGGGAGACTGTTATAGATTAAGTAATTTATTAATATAATTGTCAATATAATTGTATTGTCAGCAATATAGGTTAATAAATAAATATATTAATAAAATAGTAAACTTACCAATACAAACGTCAACCTTCCCCTTGGCAGCGGCCTCATGCAGCGGAGTGTACCCCCAGTTATCACGTGGCGATGGCGCAGCCCCAGCTCCCAGCAACGCTCTGACCACATCCGCGTGCCCAAACGAACACGCGTTATGTAACGGCTGGAGACCACCGTCGTCACGGGCCTGGAGGGCAGCTCCGGAGGATATTAGGATCTCTACGACTTCTCTGCGACCATATCCTGGAAAAGAAGTTGAAATCAAAATGAAATGGCGTTTACGGCGATGAAAGTCGAACAAAACCCTATACATAAATAAATTTACTTCAGTATAACTTAATCTAACACAATATACAAGGAAAACAAATGTAAATAAAGCTATTATAGTATTAATGTGTAATTGTGATGCAACAAAATCGTAGAAAAATGCCTTATTTTGCTACTTTGACGTGCAAAAATGATAGTCAAACTTGTACAAATGATAGTCAAACTTGTGTCTTATTTTATTTAATGTTTTGGATTTATTATTAAATCCAATTACATAAACAGGCCGCAAGCAGAGCTAGCTTAAATAATGGGCATTGATAAAAAATTTTCATTACACCTGCCCACATTGGTTTGAAAAAGCAACATTATGTTATTAATCATTCTATATTGAAATTGGCTATAGTACCTATAGATACCTAGCTACAGGTATAGATACCTAGATACATAGCACTTTTGCAGTATCCAGTTAGTACTTTAAATAAATGATGTCAAAGTACCTTATTTTGTATTAGTATTTTTTTAGAACGTGCAAAAGCAGCATTTTCAAAAAAATTCACAAAAATTTTTTTTTTAATTAATTAGAATATTAGAAAAAGAATATTAGACATAACTGGTTGAAGACTGTACCACCTCAGTCAACCGTGACCATGGGACCTGTAAAGGGCCCGAAACGTCGGTTTGTTTGAAAAAACAAATATACGCGATTTAAATCCGGAAAAATAGTTTCATTTCCTAACTTAAACTTAATAAAAACCAAAATTTTATTTTAAAATACGATGTAAATATTTTTAAACAATCGTTAAAAAGTAAATCAAGCTTCCGAGAAAATTTTTTCAAAATCGTGTATTCACCATGTAAAACATCGATGGTATGTACCAAAAAAGCCGTTCAAACCCCAAAAACAAAGACCCGCAACAAGCACAAAGACAAACTCTAAAGGTCTGCTGATTCGTTTTATAGCTCAGTCGAGAGAGCAATTAGCAAACAGTTGTTGGTTCCAATGCAGCTGGATTGAAGGAATTTTCTTTTGTATGTGTGAACAGTAGAACTCCTTGTGAAAGAGTTCATCCAGGGTAGTACTGCCACCTTACCTATTTCTGCGGCCAAGCAGTAATATCAGCATTACTGTGTTCCAGTTTTGAAGGGTAAGGGTGCTGGTGAAATTACAGGCACATAGGAATTGTCAATTTATGTCTCAGGGTGACGTGAGCAGTAGTAGTGCTCCTCAGATCTGTTATGGACAGGCGTGTAGCTTACCATCAGGTACACAACTTCTTCATCTCGTCACTTACGTTATAAAGAAAATCACTACTGATCACAATTGATTAGATAATGCTTGCAGCGGTGACCAGGCTTGGCCGCATAGGCCCTGAATGAGACCAATCTAATAATAATACGCAGAATGCATATGGAAAAATTGGGACTTCCCTGATCGGCCATTATCAGATCAAAATAATCTTTATTTCATAATAAGCATTATTAAACTTGAAACCATCACATTGATAAAACTCTACCGATCATTCATAAGGCAGATTCTCCTGAGAGAATGAGCAAGAAACTCTAGGGGTTGCTTGTTATAAATAACATTTGTACGCAGTCAACATTTACAATATATATTTTTTTGTATACAAACACCAGAGATTGTGACTACCTCCTTGACCTAAATGGGTTACTACCACAGATTTTTGTCATCTAAATATGCAAAGTTGTATAATAACCTTTACTATAAAGATTTTGTTTCACTATAGTTTTAAAAGTTGTAAATGGCAAACTTATTATATCAACTGGAATTTTGTTATAGCGGTGTATACATTGCCCCCTTAAATGAATTTGTAACTTTGTGAAGATGACTATCAAGAATAGCTAGTTTATTTTTATTCCCCATATTAATGTTTTGTCTGCATTGACTTACAATTATATGGACGTCGGGTCCGCGCTAAAAAGTGTCCGAACTTATAGGGCGTTAAAATCGTATACAAAGCGTCATTCACGCTTTAGTCTTCGTTTGTTCGACTGACAGCGAAGCAAGCAAAATTAGGCAGTACTGTGATGACATTACAATTTAAATTCAACGTTTTAGCTTTTTCATATTCCTTTACATGTCACTACGTTTAAATAGGTTGACTTGGGACATTTTTTTCGTGGTTTTTGTATTAGACCCGTCGTCCATTTATTTGTAAGTCAATGTTTGTCTGTCACTGTTTTTCATAAAGAAATTACTATTTCTCTTAACATAAACTACATTTTCATAAATGTACTGTACTGTCATAACAATGTCTAGGATGACAATTACTCCTAAAATATCTATTCACTAAATTTCATTGAAATACATTTTTCACTTTTATTTCTAATCTAAATTACAACATCCAAAGTAACATATTATATAAAAAAAATAATTGACAATAATAAAGAAGAGCAAATATAATAATATATAAAAATAAATACTTAACTTATCTTCAAATAAACATTAATTATGAAGCAACAAAAAATACTTGTTTACACCATATAAGCACAACTTGTATACAACAACAGGTGCACCTGTATCACAAAAAACAGCAATAACAATGAAAATTTGCAATAAATCGTCAACTAAAAGTTGATAATTGGCATAAAACTGGTAAATCACTGCTCGCACGAGAGCGAGAACCGTGAAAAATTATGCAATTTAGTAAAAATCTTCATTTACTACTCAGTTCCTTTCACTTATTCAGACGCTTATTTTGGCACAACGAATTGATATTATGGGATTTTTTTTTATAAGTACCTGCTGCGAAGTGTAGAGGAGTTGATTTTCTGCCCGCAGTGTCTCTAGCATTCACTGTTTGTGGTGTAATTAGTTTTTTGACTCTCGCTGCATCGCCAGTTTTACAGGCTTCAAAAAGTTCACGCAAAGGATCCGTGGGCGCGGGAAGTGAATCCAGCGTGGAACCGAGTAGCGAACGACGGCTCGACATCTTAACTTCGCGTTTCACATTTATTTGTTTAATTTAATATTGTTTTACGAAGACATTTTTGCAAAAATGTTTAATGAAAACACAATGCACAGCTGCTTTCTTGATTTCGCTTGACAAGTCGATTGTTGCCATTTACCAATTTCAATTTTGATTACCCTACAATTCAGAGTGACCGAGATTAAAGTGATTGAGTGAAGAAATATCAGTGACCAAAAAAAAGTGAACTGAAATACCTTACATAGACCATACAATTTCAAAAGTTTGATTGTGATATTGGCTGACAAATGAGCAGTGATTGTTCATATTTATGAGACACGTAAGCTAGTTATCTCCTTTTCCTGAGTTTGTAACAGGCACATTTTTAAGTCAATTGCTGACTCAAACAAGACATTATTGCCATCGACGAAACCGTGAAAATTTTAAGAAATACAGTTATTCAATTAAACACGTATTATTGGGAACGTTTTCGAAATTGGCAATAATATATACATAAACAAAAGATTTATTTATTTTTAATTGGACCTAGAGACGTAATCATTCATCCCTTTTTATTAATGGCTTAAAATTTATTTATAAAAGGGTTGATCACCATCAATAGTGAAATTTAACTATTTACACGAGATTTATATTACACGAGATTCGACATCCGAGTAAATTTATCATTCCACATAATTAACCCTACAGTATCACTTTAGCTTTAATTTAGTCGAAGTAGGTATTTTAATTTATAGTTGACTTTTTAACGATTTTTTTTGTACGTTCAATTAATATACTTCAACGTTAACCCTCTAAGAATTCATAACCAGTACGTTTCTGTAAAATGTGGTAAAATAATTCATGAAGTAATATGCTTATAAGTGACACGACATGAACCAATACAGTGGTGCATTAACACTATTATAGTCACTATTACGTTGCACAGTCAGGGCGCGTTCCCACTATGTCGTGAAGACAGATTGTCGTGCAGTTTACGGTGTCGTGACTTGTATATTTAAATGAAGTTGTTCACATATAGCACGACACGATTAACAATCGTTCACAATTTTTCATCGTTACAACGACAAACTGTCGTCACAGTGTGAACAGCTATAACGACAGTCGTCCGACAATACAAAGATAGATTGTCGCAGCTCCTATTGTCGTCACTTTTTATTTATCGCTGTCCGCACGTATTCTGCTCCCTGCCCTCCCCTCTCGTACCCCGCGCCCTCTGCTCGCTTTGCAGTAGCGTTGGGTCGTAGCCAGAGATGGGCAAGGAGGCAGTCGAGAAACGATAAATTGTCGTCACGATCTAGTGGGAACAGCTAGTCACGACAGTCGTTTAACGATAAAAAATCGTCCACGACAGATAGTTGTGATATGGAAACAGGCTAGGCACGACAGTCGTCCAACAATAATAAAACGTGACGACATAGTGGGAACGCGCCCTTACGCGCAATACGTTGTCGTCAGTCGTGCCCACTGCCGCATCGTTACAGTGTAACGCTGATACGTTTGAATTTTAAGAGAATTATTAAAAAACATCTCACAATTTCATTGATTGTTGCAAAAACTAAACGCAACTTTTCTATCTTGTCTACAGCTGATAGTTGACGAAATCAAAATGGCGTCTTTCACGAGATAGAGCATAGCCGCCGCATACTGGACTTTATTTTATAAATCGTGGGTGTGACTATTTACTTGTATTAATTACATATTGTGGACTATTATTTAGTGCCAAAAGTGTTCATATTACTTTACGGACTTATTGGACATTGTTGACTGCATTTATAACAAATTTTTCCAAAGGTATGTTCCCCTTTCACCTATCGAATATTTTACGTTGATAAAACACAAATTAACGTGTAAATTGTGCTGCAAAACCTCTAGACACGTACGAATATCTTGTATGTCGTGTTTATTGTAGTTTTTGTTGTATTGGGACCGGATACTGCGTTCTTTGGTTTAATGGGTGAATCAGTGGATAACTAGTTTTTTTTTATTCCAAGTTAAACTTGTTGGCCGGTTATCACATTTTCAAAGATCCTAGTTATCTGACCGCGCAGTCTGTGACATCGCGCGTACCTGATACAACGCGGTAGTCTGCAAGTATCGTCTACAAGTCAAAATGCTATAATTGAATTATAAAAAGTGAATTTCTCTACGACGAACAAGTGATATTTACGTGCAAATTTCACTCGTACTCTCGGATTGCAGTGCCATGTGATATGACTACAAATTAAGGTTTAGTTTTACGTGCAAGGTAATATTCCTTAATTATTTTAAACTACATAGTTTTGAGTTAATATACGAAGTTGTAATAGGCCGTTTTAGTCACGAACTTGTCAAACGACACTAGCTTGACACTATTAAGCCAATTAATGAAGTCAATTATGACTAATTTACCATTTAAAACCAGTATAATTACATTATTTTGTTGCAAAATTAGCGCAAAAATATATAAAGCGCTCGTAATCTTCAAAGTTGTTTTGGGATAGGCAAAGGAATTCACTTTTATACATCCTTGTCCTAGATTTGTTGAACTTGAATGGCAAAGAATATATTATCCAGTTTTTAATCATAATATTATCATATTTAATTTTGTTAAAAGAAGAGTTTATGTAACATAACAGTACAGTTATTTTCCCTTGTTGTTGTCTTCAACATTTGCTTCACGACTTCAACATACTGTTTCCAAATTTTTTCATAACTCAAAAACCTCTGTTTGCCTCCTTTTAAGTTATGTAGAAAATAAATGTGACAGATATTTACTCCAATTTACTACTTTGGGGATACCCTATGTTACCCTATTGCACCAAGGTCATTCAGCCCAACCGAATCAAAGTTCCCAAATTGGTACAACCAGAAACAAAAGTGTTATAGTGTGTTTCAACAGTCCTTTACCAATAAATTATGAGTTTAGCGGTTAGTACATTCCATACCCTTTGACTGAAACATTAGCTAAACTTATGGATAACGTCATCGAGTCACCACTGCAGAAGCTCATGATTAAGGACCACTGACTGGTGTCTGCAACTCGACAACTGGTGCCTAATTTGCATGTAAATATGTGTGTTATCTGATGATGATGATTCATCATCAGCTTACAAACATCCACTGCTGGACGTAAGCCTCCACTTGCGCACGCCGTCTTTCCCGATCTTGCGCCGCATCCAGTCACTGCCGGCCATCTGTTTCATGTTGTCATATCTTAACCATGTAAATGCTACAAACGGTGGCTAGGTTAGGTTTCCTGTTTCCTGAAATTGATTTATTGCTAATAAACAATAACTACCATTATATGAATTTATGTCACATTGTCCAATGGTTTTGGCACACTGCAGTTTTTGAGAAGAAATAAATTTATTTCTGTTGTTACGCACAATTCTCTATGGTGAAATCTGTTTATTTGTTCTATAGGTAGGGTGCACTATGCAATACATCCTTAAGTATTTACCCATAAACATTATTAGGCTCAATTGGGAAATAATTTACACCGAAAAGAATGTGACATTTGTGCTTTTTATTATTAAAATAAAACTATATACTCATTATTCGTATAAGGTACTAAAGTAAGGCAAGATACGCTATAATAATAAAAACTACATTTAGGAGAGTCGTGGTTATTATGCCTGTCTAGATTTGCCATTGCAGACTGGGTCTTCCCTACTTCCCTATTAAACTCTATTGCTCATTTGTAAAGCAGATTCACCAAGAAGAATGAGTAAGAAGCTCTAGGGTTGGTCTTTGTAAATTAACATTTGTACCCTTTTATCAATTACAAAATTGATTTATTTCAAATATCAGATACTGAGACAAACGGCAAGAACTAAGCAGGTCATTACTACGGATTTTTCTCATCCAAGTATGCAAAACCTTACAGTAAATAATTATTAATACAAAGACCGAACATTCCTTTGATCCGGATGTGAACCAACATCTTTCAGCAAACTGTGGTATATGCTATGCCAACTCATTCATTCATTTATTGCATTGTCACACTTATATTTAGTACACTGACTTGAAAATGTACATGTGACACCCTGTAAGGGCACAGCAAAGTGACTAAGACGTAAGACGGAATGAATTAGTGGATTTTAGGACTGTTTCTATGTGCTTGTTGCAGATTTTTGTTTTGGTTTATAAAAACTGTCCATCCGGATCAAAGCATTTTTTCTAAGTGTTCGATCTTTGTATAATTTTTATTTATTTGTGTGAATAGTTCGCATTTTAATTTAATAATTTTTTTATATACAGTTTTCTGTTTGTATTTTGCTTTGTAAAGTTATGTTTTACATTGAATGTTTTGTTTTTGTTGGAGTATCAATAACATTGTGACATTTAATAACTCAGAAATTGTAAAGATTTTATTTCACTAACTATAGTGTCAATACTAATTGAATGGCCAATTTTGAATATCGGCCAGAATCTTAGTACAGAACTATTGTAAAACCAGGGATTGTACAACATTTCATTTTGAACATAAGGTGAATTTCAAATTTGATGATTAAAGTTCCAGACTATAATTTTTACGTCCCAAACTTGAAGTAGGTCTTGAGCCTCAACTGTTTCTTATCTAGACAAGGGTTATCTTCAAATAGATTGTTATCTAGAGATAGTGAATGCAAAATTAAGAGAGCTGTTTATCACTTTGACACTGTTATGCTTCATTGTTCCACTGCTCAAGTGATTCCTTCAAGTATATAATCATTGCTTGCCTCACTGACTGCTATATCTACTGTGTAAGACATTTATTTCCCAAAAAAATAATATATTAGAATACATAGATATTAGACTTAGCAAGAAAAATAAGGTATTCTAAAGCTAATTTAATGTTGACGAAATATTCCATTGAAGGTATATAAATAAAATTTTGACTTCTAGTTTTTAATATTTACATACATAGTATGTATTAATAAATCATGCCTAATTAAATTTAATTAATCATTATTTTAGTTATTAAATCATTAATTTTAAATAATAATTTAATAAATTATTTTAATTTGAGACCAGAAAATTGG